TTTCTTTCCCCCTCTGCATAGGCATTCTGGTAAAGAGCCATGAACATGTTTGGAGAACAGTGGAAAAAACAGACCATAGCGTAAACTTCCAGAAGTGCAGTGGGGTCTTTCCACAAGGGAAACTACTCTTTCTAGGGATTCTGGGTCTGTCTAGCAAGATTGGCTCCTGTTACAGTTGATTCAAGGGCCGTGCTTCTCTTGAATACATCATTCAGGTTGCTCCCTTGACCTAGAAATCCTCTGCATGTGCAGCTCAAGTTAGGACTCCTAGAATACATACTTAGCTGACTTTTCAGAAGAACGTGATCAACTAGCTAGTGCCATAGGTCTCTGCAAATGCTACAATTCTGATTTGCTCTTTGAGTATGCTGTCCATTATTGTAAGATGCCACCCTTTCAAGTACTGCACTCTGGCTGCTCTCATCCCAGAATTGAATTATTTCCCTTGTCTGCAAGGATCCCCACACTGTGACAGCAGTTTCTGCTAAAACTTCTGAGCTCTGAGGTCCTCAAAAATGGTGGAATTTCTGTTGAAAACCTGTGTCATGGTATTATGGTGCTAGATGCCTTTTCAGCCCATGACCTTCATGGATTGGTACAGGACTTTCATGACAACTGTATCTAACCGCCTCGGTCTCTTTGAGCCTTTGGACATACTTCTGGCCAACAGACCCAAGCAGCCCAGGAAGTTCCCATTCAGTTAGGTTGTGAACGTTCCTGTTGTTTCCTAACTTTTGCCTATCGTTCCACAATTAAAGCCAAGTTTTACTTGAGCCACAGCCTCAGTGTAGATTCTGTGCTTAGGGCCCTTATCAATCGTGTCAGTGTAAACTGATTTTAATTTCCTTCCACCGTGATCTCAGCCCCTTTCACACACATTCCCTCAGGTATCCCACTAAGCCGTTTCCGTAAATCAGAAACATGAGGCAGGGGGCTGGGGATTTAGCTCAGCAGCATAAGCACCTGCCTTGCAAGCAGGCAGTTGTGAGTTCGATCCCCGGTACCGATAAAAAGGAAAAAGACAAAAAAAAAAAAAAAAAAAAAAAAAAAAAGAAACACGAAGCAGTTGTTCGGACTCCAATGCAGTTCTTCCTTCATCACATTTTGTACCTCATTTCTGAAGGCCTGCTGGTGGTGTGGAGTTAAGCATACATATAGGTCTAGAAGCACAGAAAGATGATAGTGCTGTGTGCTAAGGAGGATCTGCAGGATTTTGTAATGTGACTTCCTTAGGGGATGCAGGGATGCGCTGCAGGTTCTTCAGAGTGTTACAACAAGTGTTACAGCCCATAAAAAGTTGTTCACGGGTCCTAAAAGGTGTTACAGCTCCTAATAATACAGCTGCATCAGAATGAAACAATCAAACCTACCTACCGGCACCTGGGGTTTTGGAGACAGGTGTACAGTTTTATTGATGTCTTGGCTAACATCCTTCACCAAACAGTCAAGCAACTGTCAGAGAGCAGGATTTTTATAGGATTTACAACCCAGTAGGAGGTACAAGAACGGAGTGTTTGCCATTATTTGACTGGAGATTATACTGAATTTCACCTCCCTGCATACAGCAGAGACAGGGATAGAATTTTACATCATTTTCAGGAAAAACAGCATCAGCAGAGGAAAAAAGGCTTATTGAAGGCCAAGAAGACACATTCTGAATGGCAGGGGGAGGAGTCCCTGCAGGGACCAAGTGTTGCATTGTTTTTGTTTTTGAATTTTTTTCTGGATTTGAGAGGAGCCATCCTGCCCCATGCAGGGACACCTTCCTTGAGATGTCCCAGCCTGGGCTCTGCTACATACGCAGCCACAAGTCTTTTTCCAGGACATTGACTTGGTGAGGCTTGAGAGACTGCTTGTCTCTCAATTCTCGGAATCAAAGAGAAGATCCTCAGTGCAGAGCGCACTGACTGTATTCCCCATCAATGGAAGAGCTGGGTGTTGTGGGCTGCTGTGAGCACTGCTGTGCTGAGGTCTTGGCTAGGAAGACCTGCCTGCTCCCCTGCATTTCTGGTTCCTGCTCCACCACACTCCATTGCCAGGCCTTTTGTGGAAATTCCACTCCTGAGTACAAGTGCCAGAAAACTTTTCATGATAAAAGGGAAGTCACAAAATGCTGCTGGAAGTGGAATGTCCAAATATAAATGAACCCCCAGACAACTGTGCTGTCCCTTACATCATATAAACACACAACAAGAAGATTCCATCCATCAGCTAGAAATGGGCCCTCTCCATGCATGGAACTTGCTGGAAACTTGATCTTGGGATTCCCACCCTCTTGCTTTGTGAGAAATAGGCCTGCATAATTTTCCAGCCACATCTTCTGGGATGTTTTATTACAGCATCTCCAGTGGACTACAGCACTCAAGAGAAGTGGCTGCTGAAATGCGGGAGTGGAATAGGACCTGGGCAACAGGAAGACAATGGTGGATTTTCAAGGTTCCTGCTGGGAGAAGCAGCTCTAGAAAGGAAATGGGAGCTGCAGTGAAGCCCCCATCTTCTTAGAGAACATGAAAGTGATTGTGAATACAATATTGATAGAAATATGCACATAAAGCCCACACTATGGGGATTCCAGTGGAAATGAGGAAAGCATCTGAAAGGTGCTCCTTGTTAGAAACCAGCAGATAGCTTGGCTGAAGCTGTTCATTTCTCAGCATATTATGGGAGGTAAGAATGGCTTGTGATGAATGATTAGGCAGAATAAATTGCTAAAGAAATTCTTGAATAACATTTCGTTCTATTCAAAGCTTACAGTAGAATGAATGAGAGTCAAACAATTAGAGGTAAAAGTTTTCATCTAAAAGGCAGCAGAAGTGGACCACTTGGAAATTTCCCATCCTTCTGTCATATCAAATGCAAGAAAGTGTGTGCGAGAAGCAGTGTCAAGAGTGGGGTCCAAATACAGCTTGACAGGGAAATGAGGATGGATGCACCAGGGATTATTGACCAGGATTATAGAAGGATGGCCCTGCAGGAATTGTGAAAATCACTGGGTCTGCCTGGACCATCAAGGCCTAAGCATTCTCGAAGCTGGGAATCATAATGTTTCCATGTGTGGATCACAGGTCCCTGTGGTACCTTAGCACATACTGTCTTGTTGTGCTTCGCAGCTCAGCCGCCTTGATTCTGGAGGCCTAATTGTTTAACTACCTGAAATATGGCTACAATTGGCCAAGGTGTGGCATGGGCCACACAAGCTACTTTCTTAGGAGAAGAAGTGGCTGATGTAAGGGGTGTCCATGTGACCCATCTCTGCTGGAGGACAGACTTCCTGGGCTGTGGGTGTTTGTTGTCTCTACTACCTCCAGACCAGATGGCCCCACACAGCGCTTCTGGCCCAGGATCTAAGCAGGCAGGACTATTTGAGACAACAATGCCCAAGGAATCGATGCAGGTGGTGAAACCGAGAGACCCCAGTGGAGGAATCAGCTTTTGGAGAGCATTAGCATGGGCTCTCCTGAGAAAAGCCCTTAGGGTATTGGAGCGGGAGTGGGGGATCCACTCTGTGTCCCAATGGGTCTGCAGTGTGGGGTTTGAACTCAAACATCTTTCCTGAAACTTAAAGAATAATGCTGTATATGTTGGTGGTTCTTTGCAATCATTCTGGTTTGTAATATCTTTCTTACTTCCCATCTCTTCCTTCTGGATGGGCATGTCCATCCAAAGACCTTTCCAGTATTGTGCTTAAAAGCATATAACGTGTTTGATTTCCCAGCTGTACAAAATGATTTGAATCAGGATGACTTGTACTTCAAACATCACCCTTATCAGGATTCCGTGATATTCATGTTGGAACGTCATCACCAGTGTCATGATCATAAGATGGTTGGGCTACGATAGGGTGATTAGGCTAGGAGGAACCACTCTTCTAAGGGCTGTGTAGTTACAGAAGTGGATTTAGAGTGGCCTGAGCCTTTTGTACAGGCAGAATTTACCATCTGTCAATCAAAAGACACATTTAACCAGACACTGAACGCACTGTTTTCTTGAGCTAGGACTTCTGAGATCAAAGAAATGTTAAAAATAAAAGCTCTCCTGTTTGTGAAATATCTAGTCTACTACATTTTGTTATTATTTCCCTTGGGATACACTGAGACACAGACAGTATGATTTGGTGTAGACTAACCTGGACACAACCCTCTCCTGCACTGGCCTGCCAAGCTGTGCTGTGACAGGTGATCTCAGTGCTTACATTAAGGCTTTCAGCATTTCTCACCACACACTGCAGCTGCCCCTTCCTATACCAGGTCCTGCCACATGACACATGCCTATGTGTTGAGGATAACTCACAGTCATCAGGAAATTACCATCCCAGTCATGCCGCTCCTGTCAGAAGGTGACATCTCTCGGTCCATTCAAGGTTTTTTACCCACACAAGTTCCCATTCCCCTAAGCCCTCTCCGGAGTTGCCACAGCAAAGCACAGGGCCTATGCATTAAAATGTTTGTTTGTCCAGCATTGTCTGCTCTATAGAAGACCTCCCCACAGTATGTTGTTGATGTGAATTACATATGTGACTGCAGTTCTGTCCAGCACCATATTTCTCTCCTTGCTTGTGGGACTGCTTCAGAATAAGTGATCGCAATAATTACAGTACACCACTCTACACTGTTGTGTCGTCACTCCAGGATGGGTAATGTCAATGGTTGACCACCTATTTCAGCAGCAAAGAAGACACGGACACAAGTGCCAATTGTACATGGAGTCTCAGGTCCCAGGATTCATGGTCATATACCTAAGATAATACCCAGAGATATGGACATGGGTCATGTGGAAGCCAACAAATTTGTATGAGCTACACAGAAAGATGAGGGGTGTGTCTGCACACACTGCTCACCTGATAGCTGCACTGTCCAACATAGAATAGTTTCAGGAAAAGGTAGGTGAGGATAGCAAAATTGAGATAGCCTGCTTGGTCATTTGACCAGGATTCACCTGAATGGTGCTGTGGTCTCACTGAACAACTTTACTAACCCAAATTTGCCTTCAGGACATTGCAGTGACTGTTTCTTTTTTTTAATTTAAGGAAAAAAAGGGGAAAAAAAGCAGAAAAAGGGTACAAGTTATACAGAATTTCAGAAAAAAATAAACAGTAGAAAATCACTAGTTAATGAATTACATATTGTCATCTTAGAAATATTTGTTCGTTCAAGTTACAAGATTAAAGCATGTAAAGTGAACATTCAAACAGTGAGACTGCAAACAGTTCTGTTCAATGATCCAACAAAACTCAGTAATATCATTGTTTATCTTACACACTTAAATTTATATGCAGTTATATCATTTAGAGCACTTTCTTTTCTTCTGTTTTGTATAATGACTATTACACATTTTGAGTTTTATTGCTCCCACAGTTCTTATTGCTTTTGCAGGGACTGTTTCATCAGAAGGTCCACTGAGCAGCAGTGTAGCTAGGAAGCAGTGCCTTTGCAGAAGTGGCGGAATGGTCTAGAGTCATAGGGACAGACAATGGTGGCATGGTGGGGAGACTCAGCAGGAAGGTGACATTAGCTGACAGGCCTGAAAGTGAGGAGGGGTGCAGAGGTGGGCATCATAACGAAGCGGTAGGCGAACTTCACATCCTCTTGGAATGCTGTCTCCACACAGAAGGACTTCAGCACCTAGGATAGAAGTGGGACTTCTCTCTGTATTCCCGAGCAGCCTCAGGGTCCTGAATGCTTTGCTCCAGCTCCTAGTGCAGCCCCAGACTTCTGGAAGGAGGAACTGTTGCTCCCATGCAGCCCACCCTATACCAAACCCCACACCAGCCTGGCACCAGACTAAGGGTCACATCTTGTCTGGGTCACACCTATTCTTCCACAGCACAAACCACCCACATACAGACTCTGCACTACTGAGCAAAGACTCACCCAGAAAAAGCCTTTCCTTAAACTGTAAGAGCGTCTACCACAGAATCCACACCATATCTCTGCCAAGGGCCAGTCCATTCCACAGGCCCCGCACACACCACTCACATGATGGAGAAACAGCAGCATCTCCACTTCTGCTAGGCGCCGTCCAATACACTGGCGAACCCCAAATCCAAAGGCCAGATGCTTATAGGTCTCCTTGTTCTCCAGCCACCGCTGGGGGTTGTAATGCTCTGGACTCAGGAACACCTCAGGGTTTCGGCCCATGGAGTACAGATTTAAATGCACCAAAGTCTACAAAGAGATGCAGAGAGACGTGTGAGATGGACAGAGTGGAAACTTCCAGTAGGAACCATAGAGACTCACTCACCCCTGCTGGGATGTGGTAGTTCTGAAGCACCAAGGGTGAGGTCAGGAATCTCTCCAGAAAAAGACCAACAGGGTACATCCTGGGAATGAGAGTCCAACACAAAAGCCCCAGCTGTGACAGGTCTTATCACCAGCCTTTTGACCTGTGTCCCCAAAAGGAATAGGGAGCCCTCATCCTGAGGGTGGCTGTCCTGTACCTGCAGAGCTCACCCAGACAGCACCAACATGGGCGGCTCAAGTTAAAGAGAACATGGAGGTAAGCACAGAATGTCGAAGCGGGATCCCAGAGAAAAAGCCACACACATAAACACAGCATTAGAGCTAGAAGAGAAGCTGAGGAGCAATGAGTTCCCAGGAAATATTGCTCATCAGCTCCCCTCTGTGCTCGAGCCCCTGAGCAGAGACTCACGACATTTGCAAGGGTTCAATTAGCCCCTACCTCAGGGTTTCCTTGATGGCTGCCCACAGAAGGGGGAGCTCCATTCTGAGTCTCTGGGGATTCTCATAAATATTGGGTTCAGTAGCCATGCTCTCCTGCCGCAGGGCCTGCTGCACGGTAGGATTCCTGGCCAACTCAAAGAGTGTCATCATCAATGGTAAGGCTGTCTGCAGGACACAGAGGGTAAGTATCAGAGTACACATTGCCATGCCCTCCATCTATAGCAGCCCTTGCATAAACATACCCAGCATAGAAAAGGCTCAGCATCTTGGGCTTCAAGACTGCACTGACAACATAGACATGTACACAAGTCCCGATGGAAAGGCCCCCATCCCATATCACTTCAGTGTCTACATACTTCTTGAAGGCTCAGAGAGTGACCCATGACATCATTAAGAAGTGCTCTGGAGATCACACCCATCAGCTTCTAACAGCTTTTCTGTCCGGGCAGTGCACAGCCCTAACTGTGCTAACAGAACATGATTCTCTGAGGCCTAATAATTTCTCCTTAGGGTCATCTCTGATGCTCTGAAAAACACCTCCCTTTGCCCTTCTGAGTACTGTTTCACTGCCTCCAAAAAGGATCATTATGACCTGACTCACAGAAATGGCCTCGCAAGGGCCTGCCTGACACTGCTGGACTACCCTGAAAGCTATCCTCTCTGCTCTATGGGGTTAGGAGGGCCCACGCTGACCTCATGCTGCCATGGTAGGCTTTCTCGGCTTAGCATAAAGGGATTTCTTCTCTGGCCATTTCTGATAGGAGCCCTTTCCCTCTCTGCCCCATCTGCCTCCATCTCTACCTGCCTCAACCATCCTGAAGCCTTGCCAGGTCCTGTGGATTTTGTGCCCAGGGCTTTTCCCTCCTTTCCTCGCCTGTGCTGGCCTGTGTTCTTTGCTTCATTACTGCACATTTGGCTCAGTGTCTCTCTGTTCCCTTACGAGTTCCCCCTGGCACTTGTCCTGGGTGGCTGCATCCTCCCTTGTTCTCTGTGTGTCCCAGCCTGGCTTGACTCTCTGCTCTGAATGTACAGGCCTATCTCTGAGTAAGAACTTAGCAGATGCTATGGAAACAAGGTTTCATCTGTGACAGGAAAGATTCTGCCAGAGACCCAGCCCCCTCCTGCCTGTGTTGCCACCAGCTTCCTCCTCTCCCAGCAGCACCCCTGAACCTCTTACCCTCGTCTGCTCTGCCCACCAAGCATCTTTGCTTAATGCCTATGCTGCTTGTCAGGTTTTGTTGTGTGAGCCCACATGTGCCACTCAGCCTTTCTCCATCCTCCCAGGTTCCCTATGTGCACAAGTGGGAAAGACTCCTCGCAGGAAGTCTGTCTTCACTCTGCCTGAGCCTCCACGTGGCTTTCCACACCTGTGGCTGCCAAATTTGTGAGGCTCCATGTGCGCTCCAGTATTCTGCCCCCACCTCAACCTTTCCAATGTTTCATGACTCTATGCAAGAAGAATGTTGCGACAATGCCTCCCTCCATGGGTCTTTTGGTAACTATATATAAAAAGACACTGCAAAGAGTTCAGGTGAGCTTCATGGCATTGGTGGGGTAGCTGCTGGTCTGACCGTGTCCACACTCCCTGCCACGAGGTCCATAATGTTTGCTTTCATGGCACGTAGTGGTAAATTCCCCTGCAGCATCAGATTTGCCACAATGCTGTTGTACTGAGAGCAACCTCGAGCAAGCTCCTCATATTTCTTCTGGATGCGATTTTCAGCTGCAGGAGAAAACAAAGCTCTCAGCACCCTAGAATTGGGAGCCGAGATTCCTTGTTCTCCTTCCCATCAGTCCACATCTCTGTACTCCTTTTGTTACCTCTATCTTAGGCCAGCCCCAGTCTCATCCCAACATGCTGGCAACACTATAGGTGGCTATTACCCTGCTATTTTTGCCTCCTAGTGATCCTGTAAGAGGGGTGATTTTTGCCTGGGAAAGTAGATGACCCTATTGTCACTGGGCCTTACCATACTCAGAAATGTAGTCCCAGGCCTCAAAGTGCTCCTTCCATGCTTGACTTCTCATCCAGCGGGATAGACTTCTTGGCAGAAACATTAACTGTGTGGTCGTTTTAAATACGGCCTCCAGGGCATGGATGAATTTCAGGCTTTGAGAGCTGGGGTTACAGCCAAAAAGGCCCAGTCTTTCACCAAATAGTGCAAAATTGCTGACTGCAGAGAATGGCATTGCTGAGTAAAGACAGTGCTGGCCTTGAATCACCACCCCAGACCTACATCACCATTGCTGGCTGACTCCCCATGCCCTGGGATTCGGACAAATCTTTAACCCACCTTCCACAGTATACTTATGGATGTCGGGCTGCATGTCCATGGTCAGGCTCCCCTGGGCACTCTGAAGTACCTTCTGCTTCAGAGCCTCTGAGAAGTCTCTTGCCACTGTGTCTACCATGGGGAGGAGGTTTTGCACTGCCTTTGGGGACAGCACATTTGGGTTCAGCCACCGTCGGTTGGAGAGCCATTCAGGCCCATTCCTGTAGGGCAGAGCTAAAGTCAAACTCAGCCCCACATTCATAGTCTCCAGAGAAATTGTGGGTCACTGGGAGATGAATGTGTCCATAGGGTCAGTCTGCCACAGGTGCTTGTTGCTTTCTCTTAGAGTCACCTTCATGTTCTGATATCATAACCATTGAAGTCTAAATGGTGACAAGACAGTGAAATCTGCTAGTCAGCGCTGTTGCAGAGAGGCATTTTCTTTCATCTGAACTCCCAGGACCCTAATTCTGCTCTCACAGTGTTCCTGCCAACTTTGCCTAGGTAGGAAGTCTTTATCTCCGTGACAGGAGGTTGACACTACTGTCAAGTTATGCCTACCTGACCCACACTATGTTCCAAGGGGAAGAGAGGGTGAACTTCTGCCTCCCTGTCCTTGTCTATGAGGCATGCTGCCTCTCAGTCACTATCCTCTGTATATCACCAGGAAGGTCCCCAACGTATTGCAGCAAGGATTCAAATAATAGCACATTTCCAAGCCACATACCAGAGATCAGAGGGGCTCTGCGGAGACTCTCCAGGGAATGGCAGGCAACAATCTCTACTCAGAGCCACACACCTGCCTTTTTCTATGACTGGTTCCTGAAACTATTGACAGCAATCACACCCATAGCTACATGCACACATCTGCACCTACACTGAAACTCAAACCTATGTGCAAACATATGCACGCACTCGGGGAGGCAAACAAGACATAATAACCATGCACACATGAAAATGCATGAAAAGACACACAGACCTCCAGCATGTATTTCTGTCTACTGCTATCTACACACAGACACACACACAAACACACACACACACACACACACACACACACACACACACACCCCAACTCACCAGTTCCTTCACATTCACATACCGACACTTCTCCCTGACCTTCCATTTGGTTTTCTGTCACTGCCAGCTTCCTGTCCTCTAAGGAGCTACAGTCAAGGGACCTCTTTCTTTAAACCATGCTATCCCAAGGGAGTTCACTTCCTGACAAGATTTCCCACAGTCCATCATCTTCCTTTTAGCACTCTGAGCTCCCAATGACAACCTCTTTCTAGCTCCCTTCTTCCAGCTTACTGTCCAGGGGTTCCCTGAATCCACAAGACGAATCCAGGTCCCAGTGCGAATAGCGCATTTAGAACTTTGTTTCTCAACACAAAGAGTCATCCTGATCTTGCATCCTCATTACTCATACCCCCAGGACTCTGTCCCACAAATCAAATATTGCTTATGACTTGGAGGGCACGGGTCAGAGAGACTGCAGCCAGGTAGACTTCAAGATCTGGAATTCACTGGCTGTGGCCCTGGGCCATTTTCTCCCCTTCTCAGTGCACACATCTGTGCTTGGCAGTCACCTGATTTCCACCATCTGTCCTAGAGCCAAGGGTCTGTTCCTTCTTACCTTTTCATGTCTTGGGAGTTAAACCCACCTCCCTCCATATCCTAACTGGTCCCTTACAGCAAAAACACGCCAAGGTTCTGCCGTCGGTGCTCTCTGTAGGCCATCCAGGGCTCCAGGTGCATGCGATGGGGATAGGGGCTCTCTGCCTGGTGCAGCCTCGCACAGTCCTCTGGCAGCATCACAGCGACTATCCGTGTACTTCCCACATCACACCTATAAGACAGTGCACAAGCCCTGTAGCTATCCTGTCATCAACACAGACTAGGTCCTGTCAGAACTCCCCTTTTGCCCGGATTTGCCTTTGTACCACTTGACCTTTCCCACTTCAGTGCTTCTGCATCCTGTCCCTGCCAGAATGAGCCCTGTTTTGCTCTGTTCTTATTAAGAGTCATGATCTCCATGTCAAAGACTCAAAAACCCCACCAAGCTCCACAAGCACAGGGAAATTGTGGCACTGTATGCCTAGTAACATCCTGGTTTCCAGCAGGACAGGAGACTCTGGGGATCCTCAACAAGGGACTCTGAAGGGCATTACCTGAAAATCGGCCCCAGCTCCTGGAAGGTCTGGTGCATCTCCAGGTGCAAGTCATCATGGTTCTGCTCCTTCCAGAACTGCAGCACCCTCTGCCTCTTGTTGCCCTGGTGTTGGGGTATGACTTCAAAGGGCAGCACTGAGGCTTTGGAGGCCGTGACTGCTCTGGTGCCCAGTGCCCTGGCCCCACGCAGGCACAGCCAAGAACCTGCCAGCCGCACATCTGACTTCAACCTAAATGCCATTTTCATGCTCTCTGCAACCCGATGCAGTCAGGTCCTTTTTATGTCTCCCAGGGGCCTGCACTGCCACTGATCATGTCATGGGAGAAACTGTCCCTGAGTCTGCGCAAGATACACAAAAAAGAGGTCAAGGCTGGGGCCTCTAGCTTGAGGTGGAGGAAATCAATGGGCCGGATTTCATGTCTGCCATGTGGGAGAGAGCAGAGGTCAGAAGCAGGTTCTGTGTGGAAGTTTGCAGGAGTTCCCAGTGGGGGTAGAGATCTGTTCCTTCCCATGAGCAAGAACATTTTGATGAATGAAGCTATTATCTTATCTTAGAACCTTGAACAAGTCATCATTTCCTTTGGGACCAAGAGCTCAAGGAGGGTGGATGGGTTTTCATCACTTGTACTAACCTGTATTTATTTATTTACTTTTTAAAAATTAACTTTTAAATGACAGGAATTATGTATTTATGTTTTATAATCTTTATTTTGAAATAACTATATATTATTGTGCTAAGGTCAGTTTGAGCTAAATTAAGTATAGATCAATGTACATATATCTTTGGATTGAGAATTCACAATTTACTCTTTTAGCAACATAACATATATTGGGAATAATTATATTAAGCACATTTTTATTCAGAGATCTTGAACTTATTTCCTCTTGCTACGTGGAAAGTTGTTTTTGATGAACATATTCTCAATCACCAACTCTATTCCATGGTAACTATTTCACTTTCTGCTTGTATAAATTTGCTGTTTTTAGATGCCACGTGTAAGTTAGATCTGTATTACTTGTGTCACTATGCCTCACTTATTTCACTTAACATAGTGTCCTCCAGGTTCGTATTGTTGAGAATGACAAGATGTCTTCATTTTAAAGACATCTTGACTCATACCACATCTTCTTACCCATTCCATTTAGTGGCAGGCACTTGGTTTGATTCCATAGACTGGTTCTTGTGAACACTGCTGTAGTAAACACGTGGTTACAGGTGACTCTCTGGCCTGCTTCTTTCTTTTCTTTTGGACATGTGCCATGGGATGCCTGCTCACATGGTGTTTCTGTTTTCAGTGTTTCAGAACCTCCGTTCTTGGATGTGTAATGACCTTAGTAACTAACATTTCTGTTAACATTGGATGCCACCTTTTTCTACCGCCTTGCCATCCCTTACAATCTTCTGGTGTTTTCATCATAGCCACTGTAACTGGATGAAACATTTCCTTGGAGTTTCGGTTTGCACTCTGCTGATGACTAAAGGTATTGAGCATTCTTTAATGCAATTGTTGGTCACTTGTAATTTTTCTATTAGGACTATATGTCCATGACACTTGCCTTTCCCTCAAATGGGTTACTTGCTTTCTGTTGAGTTCTTTGTGTATGTATTCTGGATATTAATTCTAGCTCAAGTGAATGATGGCAGCTATTCTGTAGATTTTCTCTTTGTTATTCGTGATTGCTTCTGTTGCCAGGCAGAACACTTTATATTTTATGTGATCCAATTTGTTTATTTTTGTTTTAATTTCCTGTACTTTGGGAGCCACATCCCAGAGAGCTCAGTCCACGGTTGGCTGGACCCAAGGCACAAAGTTCATGCTGGAAAGGAATGGTGGAGCAAAGCTGTCCACTGCCTGCTGTCTGCAGAGAAGACTCATTTAAGAGTAACTGAAACAGTGAAAGATCAGAAGGCAATGCAATTAGCATAAAAATCCTTTTCTGGGAAATATTTGGAGAAATCTTCTCAAATGCAGGGAAGGAAATTACACACACGTAAGTGATGCATAGGGTGCCCAAACAACCATCACTAAAAGATGCCACATTTTACTCTAAGTGTCAGATATCCATCAAAGGACAAAAATTCTAAAAATTGCTAGAAAAAAATCATAGATAAAGTTAAACCTACTGGAAATACATACAGCAGACGTCTTTATAGAAACTTTAAAGGCCAGTAGTACCTAGAGTGAAATGTTTTAACCACAAAAGTTAATATCTTTAAACCCCATCTTATCTATCCTGCAAAACACACCTTTAAAATTGATGAAAAATTAAGGTCATTTCATAACAAGGAGCACCTTAAGAATTCATCGTCATCAAAGAAGCATTACAAAAATTTCTTAACAGTATCCTAGAAAGAGACAATGATGTCCACAGTGCCAGAATGTCAAAAAGAATGAATACACCTGGTGAAATGAACAGATAAGGAAACGGGGGAGAAATAAGAAACTCAGAAACAGGAAAAAAATCTGTTGACAGGAAATGATAAAGGTCAGTACTTCTTAATCATAACTCCTTTTTAAAAACAGGGTCTAACCGTGTAGTTCAGACCAGCCTTGAACTCGCTATGTAGTCTAAGCTGTCCTCAAATTCTTGGTGACCCTCCTGCCTCAGTCTCCCAGGTGCTGGGATAACAGCTATGTACCACCACTTCTGACTTCACTAATAACTTTTGATGTGCATGGTTTTAGTTGCCCAATCCATAGTCACAGATTTGCAGAATGGATCGTAAACAATACCAAACAATGCACTCTATAAAAGAAAGATATTCAATTCGAAAACAAATTCACAGATGAAAAATTAGTCTACTGAAAATACTATTTCATGCAATGAGAAATCAGAAAAAAAGCAGGAGTTGCTATCCTAATTTCTGAGAAGGTGGATTTCAAATAAAGACTGATCAGAAGAGACAAAGGTCACTAGGTGTTGTTTTGCTTTTGTTGCTGTTGTTGCTATTACTGCTGTTATTGTTTCTTTTTCGTTGTTTATTTGAGAGCAGTTTGAGCTTGAGACTGGTTGAGTTTGAACTCACTATATAGCCCAGGTTGGCCTTGAACTTTCGTTGATACTCCTTGCCTCAGCCTACCATGTGCCGGGATGTGAAGCATGAACTATGAAGCCTGGCCAGAAACCATTATGGGTTAAGGGAAAAATACGAAAGGAAAAGATAACAATTCTAACCATTTCACACCAAATACTAGCACATGAAATGTCATAAAACAAACAGTAAGGGTCTTGAAAAGTCCGATAAGCACTAATACAATTCTTATGAAGGGCTTCAATATACCAGTGTCACAAATGGACAGATCAACAAGATATATCAGAATTAAATCAAATTTTCAAATGAACGGAATTAATAGATACTTCCAGAGTATTCCATCCACCATCAACAGAATATACATTCTTCTCAGCAACACTTGGGACTTTCTCTGAAGTGGAATACACACTAGTCTGTAAAATGGGCTTCTGAAAATGCAAAGTAAGTCAAATTATTCCACGCATGACTTTTTGTATTTAAAAAAAGTTAAAATAAAAGAGGATATAATAAAACAGGTCAGAACAGAACAGCTTACGCAACATAGTGTTTCACCACAAGATAACCTGACATAACAGTAGCTCATACAGTCTCTTTCCTTGAAATATTTGAGTATACCTTCATATACTATACTATCAAACATAACAAGACAGTGTAAAATCATTCAAGAGAATGAAAGTATTACAGGGCATTCAGAAGTAACCAACAGGAAACACACAATAGTTTCTATATTACCTCCTTGTCCATAAAAAAGTTTGTTTATACTATCGCATATAATAAATTCCAATAAGATACAACATGATAAAACCAATGGAGACAGAAGAACAAAAGCTTGGTGGGACTTCAAAAAAAGATGATATTAAATCAGCACTAGCTATTATAATTTCTTGTTTTCCTCAAAATAGCTGTTAATATCGTCACAGACAATAAAATCAAACAATCAAGAATTAATGAATGAGAAGATTATAAGGCTTTAAAGCAATATAATGGGGAATCATGATTACACATACTTTTATGTATTCTTACCATTTCTTACACTAGGGAAACTACTCAGTATTTGTACATGTGAGTTTGAGTTATGTTGTTTATGGGTGTGGTCTCAACCTGCACCCATTTATTTATAAATATCTCAATGTGATTATTCTTTATCACTGAATAGTACTCCATTATATAAAAATACCACATCATTTTAACCATTGCTGAATTGATGGACACTTAGGTTATTTCCAAGAACTATTACAAATTGTGCTGCTATAAACAGGGGTGCACATATGTAGTATGATGTTTTCTGTTCTGAGACTATGCCTAGAAGTGGAATAGCTGGATCAAATGGGACTTTCAATCCCAGCTTTTTGAGAAATCTCTAGACTGACCTCCACAATGGTTGCCCCAGTCTACACTCCCACCAACAGTGCAGGAGAGTCCCTTTTTCCCCACAGCCTCTCCAGCATTTGTTGTTGTTGGTTTTCTTGACCCTGGCCATTCTGCCAAGAGTAAGATCGAATCTCAGTGTGGTTTTCATTTGCATTTCTCTAATGAGTAATGATGATGAACATTTTATCATGGTTTTTTTTTTGCCATTTGTATTTCTCCATCTGAGAACTGTGTATTCATCTGAGATGCCCATTTTTGGATTGAATGTTTGAATTTTTGGGGTCTGATTTCTTTTTTAATTCTTTATATGTTTTAGACAGAAGTCCTTTGTCTGAGGGACAGTTCACTAAGATTTTTTCTCAGTTTGTGGGTTTCATTTTCCCTATGTTAGAGATTTCTTTTGACATGCAGAAACTTTTTAATAAGACATGATCCTAGTTATTGATTCTGGGAAGTATTTCCCGTGTGGTGTGATTTTTGGTCATGAATTCTCTACCTACCCCTATATCTTTAAGATTTTTACCCAATTTGTTTGTCAATTGATTTAGTATTTCTCTTTTAATATTCAGATCTTTGATCCATTTGGAGTTTAATTTAGTATATGGTGATAGACATGAGTCTAGTTTTAGTTTTTGGCATACGGAGAGTCAGTTTTTTCAAAATCATTTATTAAAGAGACTGTTGTTCTTCCAGTGACCATGTTTGGCCCCTTTATCAAAGATAAGATGGTTGAGTGTGTTGGTAATTGTGGTTGTATCTTCTAATCTATTCCATTGATCTTCATCTCTGTTTTGATTCCAGTACCGTGTTGATTTCACTACAGGTGCTCTGTAGTATAAC